CAATGCTACTGCTGTTGAATATCTTCGGAGTTTAACTTGTGGTTTTCAAGGTTTTGATCCCAAAGTTTGTTGTGTTCTAAATCTTAACCTTTCGACAGAAAAGGGAAATGTACAACTTAATGAATCATTAGGGCAGGACAATAGTGATAACCAGACAATCATAAATGAAAAAGAAGAATTTTATACAAATCTGAACAATGATAATTTTACAATAAGTTTGAATAACACTAGTAATTTGGAAAATAATATTACCATGGAAGACAGCATTCGAGTTGGTCAGTTTGGTTATTATAATAATATAAGAAATAGGCCAAACTGGAATAGGGTCACAAACAAATCAACAGTAACGACTTTTCAATTTGAAAGTATTAAGCAATCAAAATTACCATTACAAACTGCATGTGGGTTAACAAAAGTAACACGAGATAAAATAATGGGTGGATCTCCACCATTATTAGGTAAGATTGATTCATTTATTTGTTTAAGTACATATACATATTACAAAATAATTAAAAGGCATTTTACGGTCTTAAAGGAGATTGGCCATGGATGGTAGCATTAGGATATTGGGATGAAAGGAAACCACATATTCCCATTCAATGGATGTGTGGTGGTACTTTGATATCTGATAGATTTGTGGTAACAGCAGCTCATTGTACTGGCAGTGTAGGTGGTCGAAAACTGTATGTATTTTATTGATAGTTTGTTAATTTTATGAATTAATATTTTAATTATTATATGGTATTAAGAACTATAGCACGACTGGGTGAACTAAATTTAGATCCATTTATTGATGATGGAGCTTCACCCCAAGATATTTCAGTAATTAAAATAATCCCTCACGAATCGTATAATAGTAAACAAATTACGAACGATATTGCTTTACTTAAGCTGGAACGATCAGTTCAATTTAATGGTAATATTAGTTTTAATTAATAACTATTTTAAATTTAATCTAAAGCGTATAATTGAAATAAAATGTTCCAGCTAACATTCAACCAATTTGCTTACCAATGGATACAAAAATGAGATCCAAAACATTTGTAAAATATTCACCAACTGTTATTGGCTATGGCGCGACAAGTTTTCGTAAGTGTCAAAATATTTATTACTCTTCTATTCATAAAATAAAAATATTTCTCTAGGAGGACCTACAAGTACAGCATTATTAGAAGTTGTAGTTCCAGTTTTAGATAATTTAGAATGTAAACGTGCATTTAAAAACTCTCCAGCAACAATTGATGAAAAAATTGTTTGTGCAGGTCATTTAAATGGTGGAAAAGATTCATGTCAGGTAAAATAAAATAGTTATAAAATATTAAGCGTACCAAACAAGCATAGTAATACTCAAAGCCCTAAATAAATCAGATTTAATTACATAGTAATTAAAACACTAATAAAATAATTTTAAAATAGAATTTTTTAGCACTGCGTGAAACAGAGTCAGCGAGTACATTTGAAACAACATACGTGTAGTAGGAATCTTAACATATTTAGATAACATAAAGTTTATGTTTATGACATATATTATTATAAATTTTTTTGTTATTTTATTAAATGAATATAAATGATATATTTATCTTTTAGGGTGATTCTGGTGGTCCGCTGATGATACCTAATGGAAAACAGTTCTATTTAATTGGTGTTGTCTCCTTTGGATATAAATGTGGAGAACCTGGCTACCCAGGAGTGTACACTAGAGTTACACAGTTTGTTGATTGGATATCAAATACAATTAACAAAAATTAAAACAATAATATTCATCAAGTTTTTTAAATGAATTAAAATCATCTAATTAGAAACAAATTTGTTTTATTATTAAGATTATAAATAATTAAATAATTTAGTGAGATATGAAATAAATTAAAATAAGTTATTATTTTATAAATTTCATTAAGAATATTTGGTTTGTGCAATAATTCATGTAGTTATATCAATAATAAATTATTAAGTTTATTTAAAAATAAACGTCTACTAGTTTATTATTAGATTAATTTTTTTCTAAGGCGATGGGAGGAGAAACGAGTAAGTTGTACTACTTAAATATTTATGCTGTAAAACAGAAAACGATCAAAACGGTCTATTATTTTTTTAAACATGTTTTAATACATAATGATTACTTGAACATTGTTCTATTGATTTTTCTTAACATTAGAATAATTAACCTTATTATGTAATAGAACAAGGAAAAAAACGCTTTCCGATGAAAATTACTTAGGGTGCTCCGATTTTCAAAATATTTTTTTTCAACAAAAGTAGGTTATGAGATCACAGGAAAATTTTTGCCACTCGCCTGAGAGCGTTTTAAAATTTTAACTGTTTTCGAGACGCCAGCGTTTTACGACTAAAGATTTGAAATTTTTACTAGGCCCACCCAAAGACATTTCTGAGATATTATAAAAGAATTAACTCAATTCATTTTTGGCTTTGATGCGAAGCTAAAAAGATATTAATTTTAATATATGTTTTTTATTTTTTTATTATATTTCCATTTGGGTCTATTACCAGTTTTTTCAGCTCTCACCAAACCGATTTCTTTCAACGATACGTTAAAAGATCACAAATCATATCTAGTCAAAGATATAACCCTCAAAAATTGAAAAAATTTCCCTCGTTTCCCGTAAAGGGAGGAAATCACCAAAAAAATTACAAATTTAAAAATCGGTAATTTTCGACATTTTTTCAATGTTTTTTCTTCTTAAAACAGCCATAACTTTTTAAAAATTAACCAAATCAATAAAAAAAAATTTTATAAATACTTGATGTCTTTACCTATCATTTTATATACTTTTTTTATAAATCTGATCTTTTACTGTCCACAGATGGGGATTCAAAAGGACAACTTTTTCACAAAAAATTATCTTTTTTAACTTAACTTTTGAAAGTGTTCCGGAAGGTCTGACACTTTTATATATATATATTAAATTTAAGCTAATGTAATATAATTTATTATGCAGAAAAAAAATTTCGGACTTTATTTTATCTTCATGATGAAAACAGACATCAAACTTAATAAAAAAAATACGATTTTTAGCAACATATTTTGAATATTTTATTAAAGAATGTTTGATAAATTATGTATAAATTTCAGAATAGTTATAAGTATATAAGTTAGTACATACATTATCAGAACAGTAAAGTATTAATAATCTTATTTATTTCATATATGATGTATAAGTTTATGAATTTATCGTAAAAATTAGGATCCATCTATGACAACTGTGTTGTCTAACGTCACAATTAAATAACTAATATTATTATCAAAATTAACTTTTTACATAATCCTAGGAATAATAACCTGCCAAATTTTTTTTAATCATTTTATAATATTAATAAAATTAGTATAATTAGAATACTATTAATTATTTTGTATATCAGGAGCGTATTTAATGGAATATAGGCAATTACCCCTCTTGAACGAGCACTATCAATATTTTTTAGGCGACTTTTAAGAAATATGGCAATAATAACCTTTTTTTTTATCATCATTTTGATTTTTAGAAAAAAAATTCTATAACATTTTTATTGGTAAAAAACATTAAATTATTTCTGAATACTCCTCAATAATAATAAAATATTTTTCAAAATTTATAATTCATAATATTCAAGAAAGATGTGACAATAAAAAAAAATATCTTTTACGTTCTAAATTATTATTTAAAAGCATATTTTACAATAATAATTTTACACTTTAATGAGTCATTCACATAGTGAAAAGAATTCAAATTTTTGAAATAAAAAAAAAGTATTAATTTATTAAAACTTTTGTGAGCATTATTTTAGTATAGTTGGTCATTTAAAATTTTAAGTATCATCTATCTTTAGACAGTTATCCCTAAAATCTATCCTTAGAAACAATTTATTTTGAAAAAAACTTGATATTTATTGTAGTTCATAAAAATGTACAAAATATAGTTTTACTTATTTTTTTGATTCATGATAAACATTATGTTTATTGTAATAAGAAAGTATTTTCGAAGGTAGTCTTCAATAGTTAAATAC